ACACGAATATATATATATACATATATACATATATACATATATACACGAATATATATATACATACGTATATATATATGTATATATATAAACAGACTGGAATATTTGTTGCTGTTCCCAGCAGGGATATAAAATGAAACATAAAAGTGGAATTCTCTTGTTTATTTTATTAAATTTCCATCAACACTCTGAATCAATAATTAGAGATGGGCGTTAACAGTCGCTGCAGGTGCATCTAAATCAACAATGGAGTTCACAAATCATTAACATGTGAAAGCCAAACAAATGATTGAACCACTTTGCCAGAAGGTGATCATAAATTTAATTGCAGCAAAACTCTGCAATGCAACAACAAACAAACAAACAAAAACAAGAAAGCTGTGTTTCAAAGACTAAATCCATTTTAACTAAACTTTGAAAGGTGTACAGTATGTTCAATGTATGTAAATTTAAAAAAAAAAAGAGTTCCACAACTGCAAACTGTTGTACAATAATACGTTTTTATTAATCTGAGGAGCTCCACCTAAAAAAAATGCCAAAAGAAACTTGATCCTCACAGCAAACTATACTTCAAAATATACATTCCATATCTTAGTTCAGTGTTTTTTTAAAGAATCAGCTCCGGTGATGTGACTGAACCTATTTTGACGATTCACTTTGTTTTATTTGTATTTTTAACTATTGGGCTACAGAACGAAGAAAAGAGAAGAGTTTTCTGTTCCTCTCAGTCTAGCAGATGTAAATGTGAAGTATGCGGGTCGGTTTCTGTGGTATCAACCCAAACATTCATTCCTTGCCTGGAAACGGGTGGGACCGTCAGAATGTTTGAGCCGAAGGCTACAAATCAGTCGCTTGTGTGTAACGTGTCCTGGAACTTTGTGCTGGTGTAGCGTGCATGGAAGCCTTTTTTACTGATGCTGTCGTCTGAGTGAAACTTTAAAGTGATGGCGTCTCCAGCTGAGTAGACATCCTCTGGAGCCTAAAGAAGCAGATTGAAGGACAAGTGAAGGATAGTTTTAGGGGTATTTTAGGTACAATATGCACAAGAGCATCAGTCCTCCTACCCCTGATCCACAGTATCGCCCCAGTCTTGGCGACTTGCTGTCAGTGCCGTCGTACAGCTCCACGTAATCGTAGCCGCAGTCTGCTTCCTCCTCGACCTCAAACACTTGGAAGATGATCTCCACTCCGTACCCCTTCTCTGCAGTGACCACCCATAGACAGTCTGAGCCCCCAGGGTAGTTATTATCACCAAACTGTGCATGAGAGTACAGATCTTTTGTCTTGACCTCAGCTTCAAGGCTTCCTCCACATTCTGGGAATGCACAGCCACAAAATTAAAGGGTCAAGAGGAGTGGCTCGTAAAAGCAGGGAAAGAAAGCAGCTTTTTAAACCGTCGTTTCGCTCTTTTTCTCAGTTTTTGTGTGAAAGCAGATCAAAACTTCGTGTTTTTCTTAACCCACCTGCTCCATACGAAGCGTCAAACCCCCTCTTTTGCACTGAGTTGTCGGAGAGAAAGCGCAGGAACATTTTGTTGCTGCTGGAGACAACAGGCGAAGGCTTTCTGGTGCCACAAAAGCGCCCCAGACTCGACGCACTAACATCTTTGCCGTCGAAGATCTCCAGATGGTCATAAGCGCACTCCAGATGAGCCTCCATGTCGACCTCATTAAAAACCTGAAAGTTATTTATGAAATAGTGAAATTTAAAGAATAGCAAATCTTAGAAAATAATTTTTATTCTGGATTGTGACATACGAGTTTGATCCGATGGCCCGGCGTTGTGGACAGGGACCAGGTGCAGGCTTTCTTACTGGGGTACTTGTTGGGCCAGTTGGGGCTGCTGATTGTGCCGGACACACTGTTGACAACGTGATCGCATCCAGCTGACGGAAACAAACATATGGGGTGGGAGGTGGGGGGGCTGCATTACGTCATTTTTACAACATCTTCTGGGGAATTTTCTTGAAGTCACTCGTCAAGAAAACAAAAGCCAAATGAAAGCAATTACATTTTCTGTGAAAATGCTGCGAGATAAATAAACTTGTTTAAATTTACTGAATAAGCTGAAGCTGAATTGGAACATTAAAAAAAGTAGAACACTAACGAACAGCTAAAAGAAGCAAAATATTAGATCAAAAGTAGCAAATGCTAGCTAAAAGTACAACAAAGGGAGTGCTTCAAGGCAACAAAAAAAGAAAAGCAAAAGACTAACTAAAATGTAAAAGTAGCAAAATGGTAGCTAGAAGCTAAAAGCAGCAAAAGGTTAACGAAAATTCTAAATTACCATAATTGCCGGTGAATAAGCGGCTATGTTTTTCTGACACTTTGTACCTCACGGTTTATATGCACGAGTGGCTAATTTATGTATTTTTTAAAATAATTTAAACAATTTATATTTTTCAATTTTATTTTGACTGACCTCCTGCCGTCTCTCTCGCTAAATTATAGCTAAAGGCTAGCTACAGGCAGCAAAATGCTAGCTAAAAGTGACTAAAGGGCTAGCTGAAAGTTTTAAGGAGCAGAATGGTAGCAAGAAGCTAAAAGCAGCCAAAGGATAACTAAAAGCAGACAAACTATCTAAAAGTAGCAAACGGCTAGTTAAAAGTAGAGACAGGCTAGCTCAAAGCAGCATGGATAGCTTAAAATGAACAATAGCAAATGTTAAATGAAAATTAAAAGCAGCATAAAAATATTAAAATAGAGCAATTATGCTGTAGCAGATCTCAAAGCGATTATTATTATTTTTTTTTTAACTGAATCGATCTTCATGTATTTCTATGGGAAAAATGTTAAAGTTACAAAAACCAAACGTCAAAGCACCCATCTTCCAAATGAACTGACATTTAGGATGTGGGTGCTCCAGAATATCAGTTCATATGTCAAATATGACTTTAGCCATTCTTATTTGATATATAAATGGTTAGAAAAGCACAAACTATGCAGATGTAGTTAGTTTTAAAAATGTGCTGAAAAAAGAACAAGGAGAAAACAATTCAACTTTATGTGTATTTAGGTGCACCTCATTTTACCAACACATTTATAAAATGCCTGCTTTGCTTCATCTTGAGAAAGGTTAAAGGTGGAACTTCATACTGGGGGGTGTGGGCACAGTGGGTGTACTGTACCTTCCTTGCAGTCGTGTTTATTATCATGCAGCATAAAGCCGCTGCGGCACTGACAGCTGTAGCTCCCAAAGGTGTTCACACATTCATGCTGGCAGCCGCCGTTAGCTTTGGAGCACTCGTCCACATCTGTGGAGACATTTAAAGCCTCAACTCATTTTGCACAACAACAAAAAAGAAGATTAAAAAAAGAGGTGTACATCTACAGCTGATTAACCTTTAAAGTCAACTTGATTCAAGATGGCCACCACAGTCAACTTAGAAAAGACAAAAATGGCTACAGCCCAGTCAGTTTCACAAATATTGAGCTTTGGTGTGGTAGTAGCTGAGAGTCATCCCCAGTCATGGAAGCTGGCAGTATTTAGTTTAAGATTTTGTAGCCAGCGCACTCAGCTTAAAGGGGACAATTGTGCTGATTTGGCTTCAACTTTAGGGTTACATTCTTATATCTAGGTATTATTGTCTGAAAATCAAATTATTGCATTTATTATTATTATTATTTTTACTAATTACTTCATGTTTTGGATCTGTGCATTGAAACAAATGGAACAGATTAAATACTATTAGCAACAGACCAATTTATTTGCAAAAGAAAAAACAAATTGATGTGCAAGTGCATTAACACTTTGTGAATTTGTCAGCAATCAATCAACTTTTGATTAAAAGTTGAGTTTTCGAATACTCTTTTGAACGTAAATAATAAAATGTAATGCAGTATAATTGAAAATACTGCACCTGAGAAGAAATGAGCCTTGAAGCCCTTCTTGGACACCGTGTTGTCTGACTTGAACTCAATCCTCATGTTGTTCTGGAGGGACGTGATGATTTCAGGTTTCTCTGAGCCGCAGAACTTCCCGTTGAGCTTGGAGTCCGAGCTCAACCCGCTGCGCACCTCCACATAGTCGTATTTACACACCTGCTGGACGATGCACACCTTCAGCCAGAAGAAAACGAGCTGCTTCTTTCAATGACTCAGTGAAAACCTACATCGTTTCCTTCGGTTTCAAAGCCATCAAACACCAGGGTGATCCTGTACTGAGCGGGGGCCACCAGCTGCCACACACAGTTCTTGTTGTGTGGGTATTTGTTGGGCCAGCCGGGGGTGGAGAGGGAGCCGTTCAGAACGGTGATAAAGCCGCCACAAGCAGCTGCTGCAGGAAAAAATTATAAAAACAATATTAGTTTTGAGGAATGATGTACATGTGATAGTCTGAAAGCTACAACAGATGAGTGATCATGTAACTGGCTGTGTCTGCAAGTTATTTTCTCTGTCTTTTAGCAAAATATCTCTTGAACAACTTGGCAAATTGTAATGAAACTCTCAGAAAGTAATCAGTGCATGTAAATCTACAACTCAACAACTTTTGGGGTCAACCAGATTAAATATGTCTACTAACGCTAATAAAAAAAAAACTAAAATGACGACAAATCAGGCCATAATATTGATATTTAGCCGCTCTTTGGAGTGGTAGTTGCTGAGAGTCATCTCTAACATGCACGCAGAGCACTAACAGATCATGAAAACCCCTTTTTAAAACTTTATGTTTGAAGCAGCAAGAAATAAAACGTTTCTCCAAGAAACGCTAGTTTGATAAATAAGTAAAAGATCGGCAAACCTTTTTAATGTGAGTAACGACAAATTTTGATCTCTAGATCATTTCTCAACAAACCGTCAGAAAATAAAATAATATGCAACTTTCTGTAATAGAAAGTGTTGTTGCTGAAATGACACTAAACGTCCATCCATGATGTGATGGAAACTGCTGGAAGAATGAACTTGTTTGAGGATGAATAAAGTCGGTGACTAAGATGCTGCTGCAGGACAACACTGCCCTCTTGTGGCAAAATCAGAGCTTTTCTCTTTAACGCCTTTTGTTTCATGCCTTAAGTGCTGTAAGGAAGTTTAAATTGAACACTTTCTATCTGATGATGGGAATTTAATCTTCATGTAAAACTGAATATGAAGGAGTGGTGTTTTCAGTCCTACCCTCTGTAATTCAATTCAGTTTATTTATATGCAGTAGTGCCAAGTCACAACAGAAGTCATCTCAGGGCTCTGAACAGAAACATTCCCATATAAAAAATAATAATAATTTAACATTATTTATCTGAGGAGCAGACTGTTTTGAATTTAACTCCATCTCACAACCCTCATCTTGACAGTGGAAAGGAAAAACTCCCTCATGAGGAAGAAACCTTTAGCAGAACTTGGGTCAGGACAAGTGGCCATCTGCTTCGAGCTGGGTTTGATAGGAACAGGAAGGAGGAACAGATACACAATGGCAGGTTAAGATAGAAATATCAAAATGAAAACTATTCAATTTTAGCAATTCTTTTAAGGAAATTAGGTCAATTTGTCCTCTAGTAGTCTAACCCTATAGCAGCATAACAAGTCAACTCTAACTATAGAATTCATCAAAAAGGAAAGTCTTAAGCCCAGTTCTTTCTTGGACAATGTGTCAGCCTTACGGACAGAAACTGGAAGTTGGTTCCACAAGAGAGGAGCCTGATAACTGAATGATTTTCCTCCCATTCTGCTTTTAGAAACTCTAGGAACCACGAGTAAGCCTGCAGTCTGAGAGCGAAGCGCTCTGTTAGGAAAATATGGAACAATACAATCTAAAATATAAGATGGAGCTAGGTTGTTGAGAGCTTTGTAGGTTAGAAGTAAGATTTTGAATTCAATTCTGGACTTGACAGGGAGCCAATGGAGAGAAGCTAAAACTGGAGAGATATGATTTCTCCTACTAACTCCAGTTAAGACTCTGGCAGCAGCATTTTGGATTCACTGAATACTTAAAAAAAAAAAGTATTTGGACACCCAGATAACAAACCATTGCAATAATCCAGTATAGACATGACAAGTGCATGAACCAGTAATGAACCTGTAATGTGAGCTACTCACTGACACAGCTGTGTCTGTCGGCTGCCAGCTCATATCCAGGATCACAGGCACATCTGTAGCTGCCCAGCGTGTTCAGACAGCGCTGCTCACACTGACCATTATCGGGCATGGAGCACTCATTCATCTCTAACCCAAAGAAATGTTAAATTACTGGATATCTGTACAAAACAAAAATGCTTTTTTGGCTCAACATTTGTACCTGAAATCCTATTTCTGACCTTTTAAGAAGCTCGCGGTGAACCCAGCTTTGTTGACAGAACCATCGGATACAAACTTGAGCCAGAGGTGGTTGGAGCTGCTTTTGACGCTGACCGGTTTGTCGTAGCCGCAAAACCGTCCGAGGAGGGGGCTGCTCTCCGAATTGCCATCCCTCGCCTCCACATAGTCATAGGCACAGGTGTCGTGTTTCTCAATCTGCAATCAGAGCATTCTTAATCACCAAACAGACTTTAGATCAGCAGGGGATGCTGAAGCCTCACAAGTTCAGCTTTCCACTGGCTTTCAATAAACACTGACCAGATAACAGTGATTTTATTTTAATTTGAACTATTTTTAAAGTCTCTTGAAGAACTTCAGGATTTAAACATACAATTAAAGGTGTTTTATTTCTTTTTTTCAGCTGACACGTTTATTTTACTTTAAAAGAAGAAGTCACATAAAGCCAGTAAAATGCTGCAGTCAGATAAAACATATCAACTCTGTTTTTTTTATTGACTTTTATATATTTTTTACCTCAAATGATGTAAAGGAGAGGCCAACTTCAAAGCCTTCTGCTACTGTGATCTGCCACACACACATTTGGTTGGACTGGTAACCATCAGGATAGTTGGGGGACTGGATCTGACCGCTGTCCCGCTCCAATTCCCCCCCACAAATGGCTGCAGAAAAAGCGAGATTAAATTTGAATATTTCATTCACAATTATTTTTACCAGCAGCTCTTAAAACAGTTGATAAGAAAAAAACAAACAATTTAACCTGCTAGAAAGTGATTTAGTTCTAATCCCATCATCTACTGTTTATAAAATCATTAAAGCATTTCAAGAATCTGGAGAAACCTCTGTGTGAAAAGCACTAAATTATTAAAAAATATATTTTTTAATCCATGGAAACCACATTCTCCATACTTAAAAGGGAGGCCATCCTTGGTTATTATCAGTACATTGTTAAAAACCTGCATCTCTGATGGTATGGGTGTGCATTAGTGTCCATAGTACAGGCAGTTTACACATCTGGAAAGCCACCATCAATGCAGAAAAGTTTAAACTGGTTTTAAAATGACATATACTCCCATACAGATGACAGGGTTAGGGGAGCAAGACAATGCTAAACTGCTACTGCTATCACCCAATAGAAGAGTCCAGGAGCTGAAATGGCCAAGCTGCTGTCCAGACCACTCTCTCAGGTAGAAACAAATGGTGCATCATTAAACAACAACAACAAAAAAAACTTGTAAAGATGACCCAGGACTGTCAAACAGCTGGAATTCTGATGAAAATAGGAAAACGTTCCCCTCTAAATACTTCAGCAGCTGCTCTCCTCTGATCCAAGACACAGACTGATGTTCAGTTCAATTCAATTCAGTTTATTTCTATAGCACCAAGTCACAACAGAAGTCATCTCAGGGCACCGCACAGAAACATTCACATACATAAATTGAGTTAATAACATTAATTATCTGAGGAGCAGACTGTTTTGAGTCTTAACTTTGTTGCAGACTCTCATCTTGAGCAAGCATGAAGGCAACAGTGGGAAGGAAAAACTCCCTAAAAGAAGTAAACGTAGCTTTTGCTTTGCTGCCATGCTATTTAAAATGACCTTATTTTATCACATAAGTGGCACAATTTAGTTTAAATGTCCTGATGCATGCTCAATAATCCCAACAATTCTTAGTTTAAACATCCGATATGTTTACTATCTTCTACAGTAAATAAATTAACCCTTTATAAAATTGAAAATCATTGCTTTCTGTTTTTATATACATTTTACACAGTGTCCCAACTGGTTCGGAATTAAGGGGGAGAAAATCTGCAATCAAGATGTGTTTTTTACCCTCATAAACAGCTGAAAATCCTTTGCCCACCCAGCTGCTGCTGCTTTTGAACTCAACCCAAAGTCGACTCTCGGTTGAGATGATTGGTTCTGGAAGCGTGTCCCCACAGAATCGACCTGCCGAAGCACAAGAGAAGACGACACGCTGAGTTCTGCACCTGTCTGCAGTGAGCTCGTCACACTTGTCTCTAAATGACCTCTCAGAGGAGCTTTTCTCCAGAATCCGTCTCGGACCTCCACGTGGTCGTACCAGCACAAATTACTCCTGAACAGGTCCATGGAGGTAAAGTTCAGGACAATCTGAGATACAGAAAAGACACGTTGGAGCATCGCCAGGCAACATGTAATATTTGGATAAGAATTTATACTTTAGAGTTCAAATGCTTGTTTTCATCTGTATTACTATTATTATTATTTATTGGTAATATACAACAATATGGTGTTTGGGATTAGACAGTGAGTTAAAAGTGACTCTCCCACCTCCACAAGATTGAATAGAAATCTAATTTTTAAAGGCAGAAACAGAGTTGCTTGGATATTTATGAAACATGATAATTTGTAATGTTGATTTAAATCTTACAAAGAAAATGAAATTCTTTTAAAGTAAGTTTTACCTTCAGTTCTGGACCACTCTATGAAAATATTATAAACCTGTGATCTTTTTGTCTTTAATGTGTTTGTGTTGCAGTGCCCACACAATTACCGTATTTTTCGGATTATAAAAATCTTTTAAATTTTCTCAAAATCGACAGTGAGCCTTATAATCTGGTGCACCTTATGTATTAATTCTGGTTGCGCTTACTGACCTCGAACCAGTTTTATGTGCTTATTGTGAATGAGTTGAAAAAAGTTTGACTTATCTGACTGTTTCGTTTTGCTTAATACGCCTTATAATCTTGTAATATAATATATTATAAGAATTTTCTTCTTCTTTCTGCACTCTTTTAATTCAATGTTTATTTTTCCTTTTTGATTAATTAGTTTTGTTTCTTTTAAATGAATGAATATATGAATAAATAAATAATCCGGTGCATCTTATAGTCCAAAAAATACGGTATTCATACCAAGATATAGAATGAATGATTTTACGATGTGTTCTTTCTTTGAATGTTTGTCGTTTCACATTTTAATTTTTATATATGCTTTTAGTTATGCACTGTCAATGTGCTTTTGTTTGTTTAAAGCACTTTGAGTTGCTTTGTTTCTGATACCTGCTATATAAATAAAGATGCCTTGCCTTGCATGAAAATATCCATGAAGCAGAAAGTGTCTAAAAAAGTGTCAATGTCACCTTTTCTCCCGGAGTGACAGAAATCCTCCAAACACAGTGGGTGTATGCTGAATAGCCATTGGGGAAACCAGGAGATGAGAAGTTTCCAGTGCTTTCCTGCAGGCTTTCCCCACACTCTGTTACCAAATCACACAAAAGAACCGGGACATGGATGTAAAACCTTAAAGTGCCAAAATCAAGGTTAAAACTGTCAAAACCATTTTACTTGCACATTTGTAGAGCTTTCGGGCTTGAGCAATGTCCCCTATGCTGAGACTGGTGCGCTGTCCAATAGACGGCCTGACCCCGTTGACATCATAACGAGGCAAGATGGTGTCCAAGAAGATGCTTCTGTTTCAGACAAATCGCAGTTTAAACTGATTTGAAGAATTATATGTTCAAAACATGCAGCGTGGACGTTGAGTGCTGAAGTTTGTTGAAGATGCTGAAACTGCGTTGTTAAAACTAAAGGAAGCAGCTAAAAGCTTAATGTGGCAAAAGAATAGCTAAAAGTAGCTGAATGGTTACAAACTAAAAGTAGTGTGAAGCTCCTGAAGCAGATTTCAAAAGAGAAGAAAGTTTTTGGAGAAACTGAAGAGATTTCAGAGTACGAGTAAAAATATGTAAATATAAACATTTTGAAACGTTTAAAAGTTACAAAAACTAAAAGTTATAGCTCCTAGCTCTTAAATGAGCTGAACATTTTAATGCATGAATGGCTAAAATTGCATAAAGCATGTGGAATTATTTAGATTGCATTGAAAAATCCAAATAATTTTGTAAGTTTTAATTAAATAGTGGGCGGCACGATGGAACAGTGGGTAGAGCTGCTGCCTCATTGTGTTGTGGTTGTATTTGTATTTTGTTATAATTACACAAAATGTCTTGTTATTGGGATTGTACATATACTTGATTGTAAATACTTTTAGAAACCACAATGCATCCGCTGTGACTTTAAGATCGGGAGCCCCTCCTTTTTATTTATTCTTATTTGGTATTGTTTTTGATAAATACTTTGCACGCCTTACACCTTCCCCTTTTGTACAGTGTTTTTCTTAGTATTTAAATGTAGGTATGTGGACAATCCGAATAACAAAAGATATTTTGTGCAATTATAACAAAATGCAAATACCACCCAGTTACATCAGCAAGCAAGTTGTTGGTTCAATCCCTGGCTCAGGACCCTTCTGGGTGGAGTTTGTATGTTCTTTCCGTGCATTTCTCCTGTTTTCCTCCCACAAACTAAAAACATGCATGTTAGGCTGATTGGTAACTCTAAATTGTCCTATAGGTGTGAACGAGTGAATGGTTGTCTCGTTTGTGTCCCTGTGATGGACTGGAGACCTGTCCAGGGTGTCCCCACCCTTCACACAGTGACTGCTGGATGTGGGCACCAGTGACCCTCGTGACCCTAAAAGGAAGATGCGGGTAAAGATAATGGATGCATAGATAGTCTAGAAAAAAAAAAGATTTAATATACTGTTTGGTTCTGAAGGGTGACATATCAACACCTTGATAGTTTTTCATCTTTCACTGGTTTTAGTGCTCCCTCTCTTTCACTGTTGCCATGGTGATGAACCCGTTAATGACAGGTATGTGCAAACAGAGCGTTCTGAATGGGGCCTCTGGCCGGTGCCAGCCGGCTCAGTGGAGCCCGCTCCTGAATGCCAGAGGAAAAAAGGGCCACTCCAGCCCAAATTGTTTAACAAAGACCGAACTGCCAGGCCTTTATTTAGCTTGGCTCGCCTCCATGACCCAAACCTGCAACCCAGTTATGGGGTTTAAAAAAAAAACGAAGTAAGAGTGAGGCAAAGGGGCAACAACATAAACAAGATGGAAATCAAAAGGAGACAAGTGTGAAACCATTTTTGTTGCAGTCACGGCTTGTTTTTAGATGAAAGAGAATAAAGAGACAAATAGGTCAAGTTTTTTTTTTACACACGAATGTGACAAAAGTAAAAAAAAAAAAAAACTAACTGCTGAGAGTGCTCACAAATAAAAATCCACTTTTGCTCTAAAAATCTGACAAATAAAGGTGTTTAAACCCTAGCTAAACAGTTGCAGGCTCAGAAACAGTGAGAAGATCTCTCAGCCCAGTTAAGACAAAACCAACTTTGAATGATTTCAAACAAGAACGTTTAAGATGCCAACCTGGAAAATGTGTTTCTCGCGTAATGCATGATGCTGCCAAAGTCATACACCTCGCCCAGCGAGTCGACCTCACCGACCTCCATTTTCAGGAAGTTGTACTCCTGTCCTTTTGGTGCCCAGAAAGTCATCAGAGAAACATCTGGAGCATCAGTAAGCAGACACATGCGCTGAAAGCTCACATGCAGGAACTGTACCTGGTTGGATGTTGTCTCTGATGATGTTTACGTGTTTGTCACGGTCTGGGCGTGTGTGTTCGTGCCAGAAGCCGATCACGTGGCCGAGCTCGTGAACCACGATGCCAAACTTATCACAGTTCTTCCCAATGGAGATGGCCTGGGGGCCGCCGTCTCTCCTCCCCACGAAGGAGCAACACCTGCAGAGCAGCCACACACTCACAACCGCATGTTTATAACAACAATATTAGTGAACGCATCTTGCAACTGAGAAAGTTGTGGACTGAACCCCATTCAAGATGGCTGCTACAGCTAATCAACCCCAACAAACACAAAAATGGCCACAACTCAGTCAATTTTTCAAATATTGCGATACAATTATGGTATTTTTTCATTCATTCAACCTTTATTTAGACAGATTAATCCCATTGAGCCTCGGGGACTCATTTACAAGAGAGACCTGATTTCTTAACAAAGAGTGATGACAATGAGTAACAACGACAACGATAGACAGTCACAAAAGAGGCATACTTCTTTTTTTTTAACAAATCAAAACAAAATAGCAACCAAAAGGACAGTCAAAAGGAAAAGTAGCGAAAAGAAAACAAACAAAAAAAACAGTTAGATTATAAGGCGATGTAGAAAACTAAGAACGTGTCTGCATTGGTTCTTGCCAGGAACTTAACAGTTTTGAAGCCACTTAGAGAGGTCAAGGTCGAGGGCTGCAGGCCTTTTTGCGAGATATTCCAGGAAACAGGAGCGGAGTAGGAGAAGGCCCTTTTGCCTAGTTCAGTCCTCACTGAGGGGACACTGCATGTAATAATGTCCTGAGAGCGCACGCTGTAGCTGCACTCACGCAGTGACATGTAGGAGGAGATGTATGAAGGAAGCAGACCAAGAAGTGATTTAAATATGAAAATGCACCAGTGGGATAGTCTGTGTGAAGTTAATGATGACCAGTTACCAGTGAATACAGGGTGCAGTGGTGGGTACGGTAGTTACAGCCAGTTATGAATCTGTTCAACATAATGGTACTTCCTCCAGTTATTTAACAGTCAACAATGGTGTACCACAAGGCTCAGACTTGGGACCCACCCTCTTTACAATCTACATAGGTAATGTAGGTCAGAGCATCCCTGATTCATCCTTACATTTCTATGCTGATGACACAATTGTTTATTGTCGAGCTAAAACAGTTGTTAAGGTTTTCCAGCTTTTGCAATCTGCTTTCGACATCATCCAGACAGATTTGATTCGTATCAAACTTGTCCTAAACCCTGACAAAACCAAAGGGATGTTGTTTTCAAACAGGAAGTTGGTCCCAGCAGTTCTCCCTCTGATTTTATCCTCGAATGGTGTCCATTTTGAGTTTGTCGATTCCTACAAATATTTGGGTATCATAGCCAATCCGCATTTCTCTTTTTAGCTCCATGTGGAAAACCTAATAAGAAAGCTGAAAGTTAAATTGGGTTTCTTTTTTAGAGATACAGTAAATCCTGTCTAACTCTGAATGCTAGGAAACACCTTGTAACTGTGACTTTCCTTCTCTCCATTGACTACGATGACATCGTTTACATGAATGCTCCTACAAGCACCTGCAGATGTTGGATGCTGTCTATCACGGTGCACTAAGATTCATAACTGGCTGTAACTACCATACCCACCACTGTACCCTGTATTCACTGGTTAACTGGTCATCATTAACTTCATGCAGACTCTCTCACTGGTACATTTTCATCTTTAAATCACTTCTTGGTCTGCTGCCTTCATACATCTCCTCCTACATGTCTCTGCGTGAGTGCAGCTACAGCGTGCGCTCTCAGGACAATATTACCTGCAGTGTTCCCTCATTGAGGACTGAACTAGGTAAAAGGGCCTTCTCCTACTCAGCTCCTGTTTCCTGGAATGTCTTGCAAAAAGACCTGAAGCTCTTGACCTTGACCTCTCTAAATGGCTTCAAACATCTGTTAAGTTCCTGGCAAAAACCAATGCAGACATATTCCTGTTTTTAGTTTTCTACACCGCCTTATAATCGAGCTGTTTTTTGTTGTTGTTACTTTTCCTTTTTTATATACTATTTTATTTTCACTTGTTAAAAAAACCCTCAATTTGTACGCATCCTTTATGATTGTCTGTTATTGAGCTTGTCGTCCACTGTTGTCATCATTCTTTGTTAAAATCAGGTCTCTCTTGTAAATGAGTCCTCGAGGCTCAGTGGGATTAACCTGTATAAATAAAGGTTGAATGAAATATTTGGTATGGGAGAAGATGGGAGTTATTCCAATACACACTCTGAGAGCAAATATTGCACGATGACATCTATGTTTAAAATTGTCTCATTCTTGATAGGCCTTATGCATTCCTTGAAGAAATAGTTTGAAAACGATCCGAGAAAAATGCAGGATAAAGAGTTTATTTACCAGTTCAAGTGATCATGTGCGTCAAATGCAAAAGTGAGCAGGATATTCCTTTTAGAAAACAACAAATGTATACAAGTAATTCCTTTTGCTTTTATTAGTAAAACCAATCTTTTGGTTTTATGTGTTGGTCATTTCAACAAGTATACTAGTGAAGACCTGTTCTGTTCAAAGCAACACACCAATGTGCTGTGAACTCACCCACACGGCCTGTAGGTGAAAACGATGTAGCTCTCTTCGTTTGTCCTCTCCATGAAAGTCACACAGGTGTGTTTCTCCCAGTGGCGCATCGCCTGACGAAATATGGCCCTCTGGCTGCCTGGAAAGACGTTCAAAGTTTTATTCACTTTCAGATAAAATGGAGAAATGACTTTTCACAGTACTCACCACTAAAATTCCCACTGATGATGTACGGGATGATACCGTCAGGCCACACTCGCTCAGGCCTGGAGGTGGCTGCTCTCCTCTGGCGATGGGGACTCTGACGGTCAGCAGCTCCCTCGGTGGTGTCGTTGGAGGTGGCGTTATCAGCTGAAACGTTCACATGGAAATTCTCCTAATTATCTTTAAAGTAGGTCATTCAGATTTATTGTTGATGTGATGTTTGTTTCTGCTTAAACACCTAAGTTTGCCTTGTCGGGTTGCTGTGCTTCATCACTGTTCTGTGCATCTTTAAGCAATCGGAGGTCTTCCTCATCCAGAGCAATGTCTCCCAGAAAGGCAGCTGGAAAACCACACAGTCCATTAAAAAGCTGCATTAGAAAAACCATATAAACATAATCCAGCTAAGCTGAACAAGATATGTAGGAGACCAGAGCATGAAAAAAATAGCTGATCCTTCAACAAAATTGATATATTTTTTCCCACCAGTTGACAGTGCTGGAGAGTCCTCATGCCCTGAACGGACCCACACAGCTATGTCATTGATTCCTGGGGTGACTGGAAGAGGATGTGCCTATCTGTGCTGTCCGTGGAGGACGTAGAAGATGTGTACATTATTGGATTTATAATAACAGGGTTTCTGCTCTTTGGAATTGGTGGATACCTTGGATATCAACAAACTAGGAAGACATCAGCAGCAGTTTCGGCCATGGTAAAGTTGCCAGCCTTATGTGAAGGATCGTGCCTCGAGCGCTCAGACTCGAATGCTTAACGAGCTCAACTTGAAGCTGGACGCAATTTCTGAGAATCGTAGGCCACTTGTGGCTCCTGGAACTCGCCAGCAAGAAGGATTCGACCTTGGAGAAAGATAACGAGCATGGACCGGGCAAAATGTCCACAAATCTGGCTGTTTGGATTCACCATTGAGTGTACTGGCAGAACTTGAAGTCTGACAGAAAACAGAATCTGGTGGCCCAAAACTATTGTTGTTTATCTGATTTTGGCCTCCCCGCTGGCTTTGGACAGGCCAACTTATCTCAAATTGCTCGTGGAGGATACGTAAACTAGAAGCTTCTGCCAGCCCCCCACCCCCATCCCGAGGACGTCTGTGGCCATATCATAACCATGACACTGATAGACACTGTACCATCTTTTCAGAGCTTTGGAACTTTCTGGAGGGTCCATGGACAACTCACCGGCTTTGATGACCTTATGCATAAATGTATTTTGATGTAATTGTATGTTGCCGTTTTATGTTGCGAGGTATTTTTTTTACATCTTTTACGCTGTTTCCCGGCCAGGACATGGTGTGAGACATTATTTTGTCTTCCTCCACCCTCCTGTTCTCTTTTTCTTATCTGCCTGTATGTTGAATATAACAGTCTCTCTTGTAAATGAGTCTTTGCGGATCAGTGGGAACTAGCCTATATAAATAAAGGTCTAATAATAATAAAAAATTATATATTTGCACCTTCTTATCAAATTCTTGACTAAATATTAAAATCAGAAACATTTCTCCTATAAAGCCTTACAAATTAACGACCATGTTAAAGAAAATTATAGCCTGTTTGTTTAACTTCATTGTCGAGTAAACATGGTTAAAAGTCATTGACAGTTTTTATCTTTTACAACGGATTAGCAAAAATATATTTTAGCCACTGTCCATTTCATACATTTGCTCTGAGAATATTGCATGCGCTTACACACCAGCACACAACCTATTGTAAAGTGTGTTATTTAAGGGCTAAAATGTTTTTAAAAATTATTAAAGGTTTGCAATTTGCAATGTTGCTTTTAAAACTGAGACCTGCAAGTCAGCTTTGTTCCTATTCTTACTTCTTATCAAAATGAATGTTTGTGTTGTTGTGAGACAAATACTGTAATATAGTGCCTCGGTCAGCAAGTATATTGTAATAATTTTAATAATTTAGACTAAAACTTAGCTTTCATTTCTATTTTGATAATTACCTGCAACGTGCTGTTTAGATTGTGAAATAAAAATGTATACTAAAGAGAATGACTGATAATTTTGTGTCCGTTCAGCAGCAAAAACCCAACAAAGTCCCCTCTGTGTGATTGACAGGCCACAGTAAAATGCTCACACGTGTTTTGGAGTTGTCCATCTGTGAAGAAATTCTGGTCTAAATGTCTATGACCACCCAGCACACACACTTTTTGCCCCACTCCCCTCAGGAAGGAGGTTAAGGAGCATTAAGTGTAGAACCACTAGACTGAGGAACAGCTTCTACCCTGAGGCTGTTAGACTCATGAATCTCTAACTAGAATAATCACTGTGAAAAACCATATCATGTTGCTGCTGATCTGTTTCATGTTGCTGCTGATCTGTTTCAATGTTGATGTGTTCATGCGTGCTCATCTGCTCACAGACTCATGTTCATGTTTGTGCTGATGTTCAATGTTTTATGTTATGAGTGCTTAGTGTATATTTAGTTGATGCATTTCTTAGTTCATATCTTAGATGTTATTACTGTTTTTCTTATACATTTTATTGTTGGATGTAACTGGGACCCTGTGTACATAATTTCGCTCCACCACATGTACCACATGAGGTGCGAATGACAATAAAGAAACTCTGACTCTCTGACTCTGACTCTGACTATGAGCATTATCTAATGTAACTGGAGCGGATATCACTCCCAATGATTTAACTGCCTTGTATACGTCCTACGTCATTTGCTCTCTCTTCTACAAAAAAGCATTTAACAGCATTCACATCTCTGCTGTCTAGGAGGCTAATAGTGCTAAACTGGAAATCTGCAGCTCCACCTACATTTATAAGCTGGATTAGAAAGCTCATTTATTTTCTTAAACTGAAAAAAAAAAAAAATCTGGTTGACTTTGGCTCATAATACAAGATAATTTGAAATAACCTAGAACCACTTTTTGTTCAAAGTTAAAAGTACAGGATGTGAGGTCATTCAGTGTTGTGCTTTGAACTGAAGATTGTGGTGGAAAAATTACAAAAAAAGGAGTCATTATAAATATATGAGTTACTGAGTGGAAGCATCATGGCCTTTAAAACCTAACCAGCATTTCTGTAAAAGTTTTGATCATTTCATGAAAAAAGGAAACACTGCGTCAACAAACACGTTGTAGTTCACCATGTAAACGCCTCCTTCAGCCGTGTGATGTAACAACCGTTAAATGCACAATTAAGAGGATGTAGTGGGCCTTGTGGCTGCCTTTGAAGTAAACCCACTCATGCAAAGTCTGACTTTCAAGACCATCATGCAGCGTGCACTCCATGCCCTGCAGGCAGAGGGATTTCACCTGCGCCCAGCTGAGGAAATGAGCTGGCATGGCCCCGGTGACCTCCGGTCTCCAGGCAACTGCCTCGAACTGCAGGAGCTGTGTGTTTTTGAAACTTCCAGAAGTCACAAGCCAAAAAAAAGGAAACCCAACCTGCTGCAGGCCCCTTCATTAGCAAAGTGAATTGTTTGGCTTGTTAGATGGTGGAAAACGAAAAAGAAATCAGTTTACTTTAACCTCTGGCTTCAACTTTTTAGACACTTTCTGGACACTTCAGGCCAATCAATTTAAAATAAGCCCAGAAATGTAAATAAATAAACATGTTTCATATATTTGATTAACTTTAGATAATGGAAACTTTCTG